AAAAGTGTACAATGAAGCTCAAAGCGCACATTGCATAACATAATTGGAAATGTCTTACAGCAATATGTTGTACTACTTTTCTTATCTTTGGAAGTTTGGCCTAAGCAAAAAGAATGGTACTGATTACTGTTGCTAAACTGGGATTGAGAACAGTGGTCAGATAAGGACAAGAGTGCTTTGGAGTTGTCTGAGTCCCTAGAACCACCAGAAGAAAAAGCCTGATGAAGTGAACAGTTTTCCAGTGAGTATGGCTAGGATTTAGCCTGTTCCTTCTGTCCAGATAACAAGATAACATCTTTACCTTAACATCCACACCCTGTTTAACAAGGCACTGAAATAAAGTGCTGAATATTCAAGATTATACTCTTTGCTAGATGCAATCAACTTCATTGTGTTGTCTGTACTCATTATGGCCAGAACGTCTGGAAAAGAAAATGAGTTTTTTATATATATATATACATATATATATATATACAAGTTGGATAAAATTGCAGGAATCTTTGGAATCTAGTATAATATTAATTGATGACAAGTTGTATTGCTTTTGCATGAGATCTCACTAATTCATAAATTTGCTGTACAGTTCCATTTAAATAAATGCAACTATGCTGATGTAAGCCAGGTGAGAATTTGGAGTTGAGTCTGCTCAGCATCTGCTTTTGAAATTAATGAGGGTGAGAGTAAAATTCCAGTGCTAAAATGCAAGGCAATTGTCAAATAGTATTGAGAGTTATCTAGTCTGGTCAGATACTATTGAGAGTTATCTAGTCTGGCCACTATGGAGAAAAAATGTGGAAATTGCCAAAATGTGGAAAATATGTTGGTTGTAAAAGTTCAAATGGTTCACTTCAAAGCATTTGTAATGTCTTTAGGTGGTTTATTATTGATATGCATATCTCTGGAGGGAAAAAGAATAAGGGTGATTTCACTCTCTCTCTTATTATAAAGTCTTTTATTCTGCAGCTTTTGCTGTTATCCTAGAGTATTCCCACACCTGATTTCTGCTTACTCTCTTTCCAACCAAAATGAAGCAGACACCACCTCTTTTTGATAATTACTTATTAAAAAGGAAGAAATTACTGAACAAATTGAATTTCTTAGGACATTTAGTGGAGTATGTTATCTTTTTTATACCAAATAATCTTTTCAATTGTAGAATAAATAATAATAATTCTGCATGTTGAAGCTATCGGTACATGATTGACTTCTAGTTTATTCAGTTCCTGAGCATAACAGAGCTAAGGCAACTACTGTGTGGTTTGGTCCAGCTGAAAATTTATAAATGTAGTGGGTTATTGTTGATTCCTTCACTGTCCACACAGAGTAAAAGGCCACAGAAGAATTATTGAGTTTACAATTGATGCATGGTGATGTATCACGCTGCACTGGTTTGTGTTTCTGAACTAAAGATGTTTACATGATAGTAAGAAAATTATGCTGGAATAATTTACTACTTCTGTATTTATTTGTTTTGGCATTCAGTTTATTCAAATGATGAATTTGGCAAATACAGCTTAAAAAAAAAAAAAGCAAAAAAAAAAGCTATTCATCTTTTAAAATAAAATCCCAAACATCTAAGTTATTCTTTTAATGAAACACAAGTATCTAATGACCTTGACAGTAAAAATGTCATGGCTTACGCAATGGTACTCTAAAGGTCTTATAAATTTTATTACTAAATTATATTATTTGGTAGGAGACTTTTTTTGCCATGATTAGTATCTTCTCTTGTCTGTGAGGTAATAGTTGTTAATGAGTTGTTAATGAGGAACAGTCTGTAAAAATTAGATTTTTGTTTTGTATACATTCTAAAACCTGTTGTGACTTTAAAATTTTCTCATATATATATATATATATATATATATATATATCAGTTCTTTGCTTTTGCATGATTACCACAATCATGGCTTGTGGTAATAAATTCAAAAGATTAATTACAGATTGCATAGAAAATTATTCCCACCCCCTGTTTTTTGGCCACTGGTTTAATGTACTGTCCCCTCTGTATAAGAATGATGAGTCAAGAGAGATGTCTAATTTTTACTATCTATATGATTATATTAGCCCTTTTTAAAGACATACTTCTATTCTGATCATTTTCGCTCCCTGCTCTTAACGATCTTGGTCCATTTATATAGATGATTTATAAGAACAGAATTCAAAACCTTGAGTTACATTTAGGATGGGGAATAATACCCAGGACAACTGACTTCCATTTTGTTGTTTAGACTGCAGCAAGACTTAGAAGTGATTCAAATATTGTTTCCTTTTGTCAACACTGAATTTAAAATGCTCATTTCTTGCCTAGTTGTCCAAGTCAACAGTAAGACCCAGTAGTTTCTGTGCAAACTTAAATCATGTTGTCTCTTCAAATTTTGTCACTTCATACTTCAGTCCCTTTTCTGGACACTGTTTTCTCTTTCAGACCTTTACTTACAGTAGTGAAAAATTAAGATAATTCGTTTATGTCCTATGAACTTCTAATGAATGCTGACTTCTAAACCTTAAAAGGACAATCAGAATAGTAGATTAGCAATAAAACAGTATTATAAGACTGAAATTTTTAGTATAAAGCTACCAAAGGAGTTTTGAGAAGTGGTTAATAAAAGGAAAAGCATTTCTGACACTGAGATCTACTAGGTTGTTTAAGAAAAGTATGGAAGATTCCAGGGCTAGTGAGAATAGGGACTCGACTAGACATAACGGTAAGAAACCTGTAAATGGAAGCTTTCACGAATGGCAAAGAAGTTGTCTAGATGATCTTAATGTCATTTTCATATTCAATTTCTTTGATTGTATTTGAAATAAATAACACAGTGTGTGTCTGTGGCCTAATTATTTCATAAAGGATGGTATGTCGTAACAAGTAAGATTGTAAATGTTGGGATGGCTTGCTGTCCATTCTGCAGGACAGATTTATGGGTAAAGCAACCTCTTTTTCCATGAGGGCTTGTAGCAGCAAATCATCTTAGTCTTGACACATGAAACTCATTTAGTCAAGCTCAAGAATATGTTTACATTTCTTATTAATACGTGTAAAAACCTTCTCAGTTGAATAATAGTTATTTTTTATTAGTCCCAGGTGAAATGGCAGTCTGTATGATAGGCATTCTGTAAGTCTTATTAAAAGATATTCTATGTTCTAAAAAAAATACTGTCTGAATAAGAAATATTGACAAATACAGTCTTATTACCCAGATTTTGCAAATGAGAAGCTTTTGTTCAGTGGAAATAGAGAGGCATTTCTAGAGGAGGATCTCAAAAATCATTAGCTACCACTGTTAGAGCAGAAAAGTCAGTCTCTTCCTACTGACCATAGGGGGAACACTTAGCTTAGATTTATGGCTCATTTGTCAGGCATTGTAGTTAGGGTGACAGCAGTTAAGGTGACAAATAAATGTCTTCTGTCTTGTCTGTGTTATGCTAAATATATTTGAGATTCAAACTTTTATGATTACTTCTGAGTGATCTAAGTCACGTGATAGTGTTTTCTCTGTAATAATTAGATTTCTGATGTGAATGCCTGCAGAATGTACGTAATCTAGTTCCTCTGTCATTGGGTTAACAACTTAAAAATTGCTTTCTTGACCACTCATTCTACTAAAATAAAATTACACTAATTTACTCAAAGAATGAATAAAACCAGATCCTAAGTAAATTTGGTTAAGAATCTCAGTAGATGTTTATGTTTATCATTGTTTCAGAATTTATAGAATAACATACAGTAGAGCTTGCATTGCAAATGTAGGTTCCAAATCTTAAAATGTTACCCATCTCCACTAGTGTGTCAGACCACCATTACTAAATATGATAGCCTGTGAGCTCCTCTTTTAGCCACTAACTGGTATTTCCATGGAAAAACCTGAATGGAAAATTGAGTCAACTGGCTAACACTGTAATTGTCATCCAAGAAGTGAGAAAACGCAGATGAAGATGGTCATAAAAGCTGACATACATTGGCTAGACTAATTTGAGCACATTGTCCTGAAAACTTAGTATTACAAAAGTCTAGTTTCTGTAATATCATAGAAGCAAAAATAGGTAACAAATACACTTCATTCTTCTCTCACCTTTTTTTTTTTTTTTTTTTTTTTTTTTTTTGCATCTAAATTTAAGCTGTCATCTTTAACAGATTTATTTGTACCAGTTTAAGTGAAAGGCAAATTAGGTCCTTTAAATGCATTCCCTGTGGGTTTTTTTGTTCTTCTTCTGCAAGCGTAACGTGTATTTTTGTGCTTTGCTTCTGATTTTATCTCTGTCTTTAAGAGTCCTTTCTGTAATAATTTGGCATTCTTTCTCTTCATTTTATTTAAATTGCCACATACACTTGTTAAATAATCCTATCCTGTTTGGGTTTTGTTATTCCTTTCTTTTCCTTTCCATGGTGATTGATTGCCATCTGGGGGCTAACATGAGCCCATCATGCTAATTTCACTTACTCTGCCCATTAACTGCTATTGTCCCCAGGGTCAGAGGCAAACGTATGAAGCCACTTTATCACTCAGCTTACAGAACATCTCATACAGTGAACCTTGTATTATGAAACGGCTACATCAGCCTCTAATTACTCAGCTCTACTCTGTGTTGAATGCTGGTGCACCTTGAGAAACAGCATGCAAAAGCACATTTGTTTAAGTCCTCAGATGGTTAACAGTGTGCATAACCTCCTCACAAATTACAGCCTCAGCTGCAGCACATCCATTAGTCTGGAAGAATGAAGATTCCCAAGTGGCCCTGGTGCCTTTCCCAATTCCCTTGCGACCCACCAATCCTCTCAGTGCTTTCTCTGCATGTAGGGAGTGTTCAGAGCTAATCAGGTCAATGATCATCTCACGGCTCAGGGGACATGACAGGAGCCTATCACAGCAGTTACACGATCTTCCAGACCTGAGCACGCTTGCTGAGAATCTCATGTTAAGAAACATAGCTTTGGTGCTTCTTCTCTCACTCCCTAGGAACCTCTGAGGATTTCAGCTCATCTTTCTCTCTCTTTCCTTTAGACAGTGAAGAGTTCAACATAAATGAAAAACAGGCATAGCAGTATGCAGCAACCCGGAGTGTGTTGATTGAAACTTAGATTACCCCCAAATCACTGTTGATTTGACTGATGCGCCAGCTTTACCAGAGAAAAGATTTCAATTAAGGTAAGTGCGGCTTTATCTGGCTGACTGCATCATGCTGAATTTCTGCATTGAAAGTTCAAACTGAGTAAACTGACAGTCTGCACTGCAGCAAGGGAGTCTGTGCCGTCTGTCAGGAAAGGGCTCAGGGCAGAGGCAAGTGTCCCAGCATGGAACGCGTGTCTGGAGAGATGCAGATTTTAAGCAGCTTCTCGTGAATGGCTGCAGTTATTTCTGATTCGGTGGCACTCTGAAGCTTGAAAAAATGTTAGAAATGTGCAGGGGTGTGAGAGGGGAGGAGGAAAGGCAAGCGCACTTTCCCCCTTTGTGCTTACTACATTTATTTTGGGAAGCACTACAACTGGAAAGCAAAAGTACATTATAGTAAAACTTGGTTCTGATCAAGGAGCTTTGTTCATTCGCAAGCAGAAACTCGTAGACAAAAGGCTTCAAAGTTCTGTGGCATTTAAATGAGGTAGAAAGGGATTTTTGAAATGAGAGTTGAGAATATGCATGCAGCTTTCCATGTTACAGCCAGGCTGAGGGCTGTGACTCGTGTGTGGACTGTTATACTCAGCAGTTGATGGGTTTTTGAACAGTTCCTTTTGCAGAAATAGCAGTTCTGTGAGGGGAGAAGTGTGAGTGGGGGTGCTGCTTCAATAGGAGTGGTCAGAAAATGAAATTGGTAGTTGCTGGGGGGAAAAAAAGAAAAGTAGTGTTTGATTGAAGAGGAACAGGATGCATTTTTCATGGGGTGATAGAAAGAGTGTGGCATATCAAAAGAAATATACTGATGATTGAAGATCTTTACTTAAAAAACAAAACAAAACAACAACAACAACAAAAGAGTAGATGAGAAGAGGCTGTCGTGAAAGATTAAATGATTAATAAGAAAAAGTCAAGGATGCTTATGCAGCCCAGAGTTAGTTAAGCAACCCAGTGTATCTATGGCAAATCCATACCAGCATGTCTAAAGTGAATTGAATTTGATAGTCTGAGTCAAGTGTACATTTAGTATCTATGCTGTCAGGGATAACTGAGGAACTGGTAAACAGCCCAAACTTTTCAATGTTGTAAGGGACCAAATTAAAGATCTGTTGTGTTAATCATGTCAGTGTTCTTCCTGTCACCCACAAAAAATTACACTTTGTCTTTAAAAACTTGTCATAATAGCGAGAAAAGATCAATGGAAAGTTAATTGATTCCAAATCTTGCTGTCTTAAACAGATGTTTAACTCCTAGGCAGTTTACAAAAGTATGAATTAATTGCAGTGCTTTTTCAGCCAATGCTGTTTACTGATATTAAATATCTGTATCTTTGATTATCATCCAGTGTTGGGTGTTGGTAATATAATTCATAGCACTATATCTTGCATCAAAAGCTCAGCTACTCAATACATTTAAAATTAAAAAAAAAAAAAAAAAAAAAAAACACCTCTCAAGCACCTGCTCCACCCTGTCTCTTCCCCCCCACCCCCCATCCCCCTGAAAAAGAAATTCAGGGAAATGTTGGTTACCTGCAGGTTTGTTATTTATTCCATTAGCTTTTTCAGTGAGAAATACCAAGCTGTCTTTCTTACAAAAATATAAGCATATTGGAAAATGACCTGAGGTTTTGGGGAAATGTGCTTAGAATGCTGATGGTTTTAACAATATATCAGTATTTTCTCTAAGTTCTGTACTCTATCATGGTAAATCAGTATGTCCACTGTTTTCTTGGAAAGGAAGTTCATTTGGGAAGTAGTTACAGGCACTGGTTCTCATCTTGGTGTAGCCCGTGGCTCACTTCTTTTTCTATGTTACATTAATATGGCATTTACTAAGTTTTGTGCTGCTTGAGATGCAAGCCTTGACCAGGCTAGAAATACTTGAATGCATAAATCAGCTGCCATTATACCTGTCTTCAATGATTTTTCTTTCATGAATAATCAATGGTTTCCTAGCATAATTAGTATTCATTACTACACATCAGAATATTAATTAAAAAAATCAAAAGGCAATAACTTAATGCATTGCAAGGGAAGAAAATCTCATGTAAACAATTCCTGTGCAGTTGCAGACTTCCAGGTAATGTACAAATAGCAGCAACTTCCATTCCAGTCTCTCACAGGCACTGACTATAAACACTGTTTGACATGATGGCTTTGTTCCCCTTTTGTCTCACAAAGCTGTTGCTGTAAGTAAAAAAAAAATAAATCACGTTTTCGTGGTATTGTGTCTGTGGGTTTCTAAACAAGTCTTACAAATGCACTTACATCCCCATTATTATTTTAAAAGATCAGATGTTCTATCTGCTTCTAAGTGAAGAGCACTTACATTCCAGTATACTAGCCTCAGAAATTGTATGAGATGACAGTTCACCAAACACTGGGAAATACTGCTTTTCCTTGTGTTTTGATAAAACAGACCATAATGTTACAGTTATTTTCTGGCCTCTTCAATTAGTGGACTGTGGACTTCTTCGTATGGATTGACCATCCACAATGACCTCAGCAATATGGGGAATTTAATTCCTCTTTCACTGTAATTGGGAGCATCCAACTCACTGAAGGTTTTCTGACATGGTAAGCATAGGAATACAGGTTACACAAAAAAGCAGTGGCAGAGACATCTATATAGCCTAGTTTCCCTCTCTCAGACTCTTTTTGTTTTACTCTAAAGCCATATCAAATAGTATTAAATATACATCTGTATGCAGAGTTGAGCTTTATTTCAGATATTTCTACTTCTTTGAATGAGGCCAGAGTTAATTCTGTGCCTCAAGCTGAGTCTTATTATCAACAGAAGCGTAAGACTGCTATCTGGCCCAACACTATTAAAAATTAGTGTTTCATACTAATGCTTTAATATTTTAAGAGGTTTTTTTTTGTTTTTGTTTTTGTTTTTTTTTGTAAGGAAGGATATAAATTGAGGTTCAGAATGGGTTAAAGCAAAGGGAGCATCGACTAGATGATATAGAACCAACCACAGAGAAGCAAGCAACAGTTCTACTAAAACTGTGATAGTGATACATGAAAAAGAAAGCATGTTAATTACTACAGCTAATAATCCAGAAAATGTAAGGTAAAGAGATATATTTTGTCATTTCAGGAGAAGTGGGTGAAGGCAGGGTAGAATAAACTTCAGGGGCTACTGAGTTCCCCCAGTTTTCTTTCTCACAGCTCTATGAAAAGCTCCCAGAAAGGGAGGATTTTCCAGCTCTGTGTTATTAGCATGCCTTTGCAACCTTTGCAATCTGCTTTCCCAGCAAGACCTTTGTGTCCCACCAGACTCTTCTTATCTCTACAACTCTTGTTACTTTCAGAGTTTGGTTCTCAAGCACTTATTCTTGCACCTCTTATGGTACAGCTTCTGTTTCTTACTTATGGTGTTTTTTTTTCTCTTTTCATTCTGTTCTTCATAGCATTATTCTTCCTCTTTCTTTTCCTTTTCTTTATCTACCACAAGGTTATGCTTCATCACTTTTGTCTGCATTCTCTTCTTTCCTTTGGTGCTGTTAGGACATCATTGTTTTTCACTTGATCCATGTGTGTAAATTCTTCTCTTTTATTGAAACAAACAAACAAAAAATTGAAAACACTGTAGTACCCAAATGAATGACATATATGCATTCAAACACTCTACCATCTCAGCCATCCCTTTTTTTTCTGTGTTTTTCATTGTTCTAGTTTTACACTCTTCATGTCAGAGGCTATTATCTCAGTGTCAAGTCAGTAGCGAACACAAGAAGAGCCAGTTCTATTTCCAGCTTTGGGGTCTATGTGTATGTTGATACTAGAAATTGAGTGCTCTTAACTGGTTCATGAAGACAAAGCTCTGCAAGGTTTAACTCTTATTTCTTAGGATGTCACTGTTCTTTCACAAGCATACATTGGAGTTAATAAGAAACATACATTGCGGAGTATACACATAGATGCTTGCAAATACTTAAGATTATGGGGGTTGTTATTTTCAAGCCATTGTGAGACTTTAACCTTCTGAATGACTTCTTAGACTCATAATTAGTTGATTTAGAGGAAATGAAGTGTTTGTAACTACTTTTTCTTCTCTTTATATGACTCCGTCATATATGCACCGTATTAAAAAATGAGTTTCAAACCTCTGTCTTCTTTGGTATTAACGCTTTCACTAGGGTCCACTTGTTTTGCAGAGATGTAGCTCATTGAAGGCATTGGGTTTGGCATGTGTCACTGGAAGAATATTTGCTGAGACAATAATTTTGTAGTAAGCCAGCAAAAGTTTGAAGCTTCAGTGGCATTTTCAGAGGGAGAAAGCTTCAGTCTCCTTTTTTGTTGAACCTTCAATCCTGGCAGTTTGGGGAAAAAAAAATCTGAAAAAAAATCCTTCATGCAGATGATTTCTATATCAAAGTAAAATACAAACCTACACTTCCATATTTATTACCAGACTTGGTATTTAGCAAAAGTTAAATACATATGTTTTACAATGCCAATACTGAAATGAATTGCTTAAAGAAGCTTCTTTTCTTCTAAACATATGAGAGCTAAGATACTGTATCATGAGAGTAGGTCAGGTTACAGGCACACCTGTGCTTCAATTTCTGTCAAACGTATCATCTCCTCTTTTTGGAGGTGAAGAGAATCTTCCTGTAGGGATCAGACTCATTGATGTGCACCAGACTGTTCTGTTGCTGAAAGGGCATCTTTCTCCAATAGTTGTCTTATCTGTCGATATTTTTTTAAGGCAATGACTGCATTATTTTTGACCTATATATAACACTAGCTATGTTTACTGTCCTGTGTCCCAGCAGTTTGTGATTTGGGGTCTGTTGAAGATGGAGTCTCTGTGCTGAATGGCCCCAACCTAGAATCTGAGATCAGATTGGAATGTTTTTTGGAGAAATGTATAAGAAACATAGAGCTGAGATTCAAAACAAGGAAGCATCTAGGCACCTTAACTCACAATAAAATGCTGTCTCACACTTAAATTTAAAAGTTGCATGTCTGGGTACTGGAATTATTTTGTCCTTCAACTTTCAGAGTACAGTATTTTCAGACCAGTCT